TGAGTTCTCCAAAACACGGGGTGTACAGTCCTCATCATTGCGGACCGGTGGAGCGTGCCAGCCAGTATGAGTGTGCACACTGTTGAAGCCGTTCTCAGCCTTTTTTGTTGCAACGCGTATGCGACAAAAAGTGGTAGAAAACGAGTAATACGAAGGATATAATACAGTAATGCACTTGCCCGCTTCAAAAACTGGTGCAGAACGATTTTGCCAAACCGCACCAAAGCAGCCGCACTGCCACGCCCCACCGGTCCGCAATGATGAGGACTGTATGTTGTGCAATCGTATCCTGAAAGGGTGGTCGTGAACGCGTACTTCATCCGAACATTGCGTTGGATGCGTTTCTCGCGGAATATTTCCAAATGAGACAGCTGTCATCCTGTTGTGCTGGACAGTCTCGATTACAGTTGTCCCAAAACGGCAACTTCTTACAAGAAGCGCAGCCGTTGCCACACGCGAATGAAATGCGCAGCCACGCCCTATCCATCTCCGTGATAGGTGTACACTAACACCGTTGGAAAATCACTACCCCGACGCACCTCTGTTATCTGGACACATGACCGACCTCCTCCACAAGCTTCTGCAAATATGTTTCTATTCACCTTTTGAAGTCCATTCGCATCCATTGGAAGAAGTCCGTCAAGTTGAGCCGTCTCGATTTGGTCAATGACATTTTCCTCATTTGAGCGGTACGATTCTAGCGAATTGTTATTCTTAGCAATATTACGTTCGAAGAAACGAACTTTTGTGAAGCCAAGATAATACACAGACAAAGAGAAGTCCATCAGAAATAGGCCATCACGTCACGATTGCAAGTGATCGCTATTTCGACATACGGTGGCTAGTGAAAGACCGCAATCGAGTCGCAATGTTGCGGACATCTTATTTGAGAATCATCGTTTTGCTTCGAGCGAGTTTGTTGTGGTTATTTTTGCTTATTTGATTCGGTCCTTACACTTTTAACGTGGGAGTTTTCTCCCTCATCTGGCTCGTGCAAGCGCCTTTACTGTTTTCTCGTTTTCAGAGGTAAAAATTTGTTTTAAGAAAGCGATGTTCTTGACACGTAGTGAGTACGATCGCGGTGTGAACACCTTCTCACCAGAAGGAAGGCTTTTCCAGGTGGAATATGCCATTGAGGCTGTGAAGGTAACTACATTGGTTCTTTTCTTTTTGTATTTTCAATATTCCTTTTTTGTTTGTCTTCAAAGTGACCCTGGGCAGTTCAATGTCATCATTTTCTACTGTAATTCATCGCTGAGCACTATTTCCACTTCCCTTTACAGCTTGGCTCTACTAGCATTGGAATTCGCACTAAAGAGGGAGTCTTACTCGCTGCTGAGAAAAGATCTACCTCTAAGCTGATGGTAAATGATGCCATAGAGAAAATCAGCAAAGTTGATGAACACGTCGGTGAGTACAGTGTAATTGTTATGGTAAATGTAATGTGACGTAGAAGTGTGGAGGGTGACTTTATCACCAAGAAACTTGTTTTTTATAACTGAGCTAGCTCTTGGTGGCATTTTCATTAGATGCGCCGCATGGATTAGTCTGCATTCATACTTCGCGACTCGAGCGTTCAATGGCGGATTTGAGATTGCTGCGGTTGACCGCGCTTTACCACTTTTCGCTGGACCATTACCACTACTAGTGTGATCACAGTTAGGACAGAACTTATCTCGGACCTTGAAGCGGTCCAGCGGCAAGCGCTCAGTTGCAGTCGAGCGACTGGACCGCTCAAGTCGCAAAGTATGAACGCGGCCTCAACAAACCTGAGGTTCATAAAAGAAAGTTCATCTGTACAAGAAGTACTGAAAGAGGCCTCACGTGGACATTGGAATTCTGTTTGTTGAGCTGTTTTTATCTTGTTTTTTTTTGTCCAGGGACATGGAGATGAGTAGAGAGGAGCAGTGTTGGAATGATAGGGAGCGGGTGAGGTGAAAAAAGGGGAGTCGGTATGCTGTATCCCGGACGGAACCCAACCAGATACTTAAGCGTTTTGGTCTCGGGGTATTGGAGAACCTACGAGAAGTGAAGCATACGAACCCTTCTGAAGATTCGAAGGACTGAAGAATCCATTAAAATATCAAATATATACCCACTGATTCTACCCAACTCGCGGGGAAGTCATTTGATAAAATATCAGTCCTTTCGGGGTCTCCGTCCCTTTTTGATTTACCAGTGACGATGGGTGAACGCAGCCTA